CCTCTTTCCTGTCCCTTTCATCTGAAAAATTGTTTGTTTGCTTCAAAAAGTCTTTAAAGTTTTGACCAAGAATGATAACTGCTGTGGATTCATGGGAGTGATGAATTTTGGAAACTTTCAAATGTCTACCTGCATCCTTAACTGTCTGACACTTCTAAAAGCCAGTCCATTGTCCAAGATAATGCAGACTGCCTCTTCTGTCATCCAGGGGTCTTTAAATAAGAATGGCGCATCTTGGCACCTTATGACAGAAAATCACACAGAACAGCTGAACAGTTTCACAAAGTTGTGCTCTCTGGAACTGTCTAAAGAAATCCCTTCCAGACAACGTTGTCTAATCAGCCCGCAAACACTCAAGCTAGGGGAAAACCAGCAAAAGCAAGCTAGAGCAATTCATCATCTCCTGGCTCAACTTTCATGGCAGTCCGGTTACCCAGGAGTTCTTAATGCAATGAAGGACAAAAAGAAACAGAAAGAAGTCTTTTGGTTTTTTTTCTCCAGAAGGGCTGAAATGAGCTAACATATTAAAGAAGGAAGAAAATGGGTTACCATTCCCTCTCCCTCTCTACCTCTGACAGGCTGAAGAGAAAAGAAACACTATGGAAAACATTATTTTTTTCATGTCTTTCTCTCAAAACCAGCCACCTGAAAGTCCTACACAGCAGTGCTCCTCAACACAACAAACATAAAGAGGACTTTAGAGTCTGCTGACTGATGTTCATGACAGCAGAGCTTCCTAACTGGTCTCAGCAAAATCACTTGTTTCAAGACCCAGGTGTGGGATGGGCTTCACATCCACCTCACAGCATCACACGTCAGCTGGTGGCAGCTGGGTGTCCCAGACCAGCTGACTGGGGAGATCTGAGTCCTATTTCTAGTGGAGCAGGCTTAAACCACTAAGGCCATGTCAATGTATGAGGATTCAGGCTCTTCATAAGCTTGAAGGGGAAACCTGACATGCTTTTTTGTTCACAGATAGAAGCCTCTAACTTGCCTATCCCTGTAATTCCTGAGGATGAGCTCCATCTCTCTTGTATAATGGAACAAGCATGCCTGGTCAGAGTCCTGACATTTTGTATTGGGCTCTCAGATATAAAATGATGTGAGCACTCCTGAGCCTGGCTGTCTTCTAATTAGGCTGTCTCAAGATGGACATCAGCTCCACAAACCAAGCATATGTAAATTAACTCGTTTTCTAGCTATGTGGCCAACTGAGATGAAGTCCTGAGATACGGATGACACCCAAGTGTGGCTGAGGCGCTTCAGAAATGTATGGTACTGCCATGTACGTATTGTCTAAAACTCAGCCTTTTAGTTGTACACTATGAAAGACAAAAGCTGAATGGCATTGGAGATGGTAACTGAGGCCTGTACGGAGCAAACTGCTGCAGACTTTCAGAATGCATCCTCTGTTCCTACAGGTAAGTTTCCATAAGTCAGCTGCCTGGGAGGTGTTATCTGTTACTGCTAAAAACTCTGAACATTCTGTGAAGGTAACACTGTGCATAACTACGTATTTGAATGTTAGGATCACACAACACAGCTGTAGTTCAACTGCTACAGATTAAAAACTAAACAGATTAAAAAAAAAAATTCCTTGACCACATTTTCATTAATTTTCATGTTGAAAAATGTGGCGGCTCTACTGATGCTGTCATCTGCTGCTATAGCCCTTAAATTAAAAAACTGAAATATTGAATAAGTACTAATCTTAGGTGGCAGAGACGTCGCACAAAGAAACTATTTGTTGAAAACTGTTCAGAATTTTGTTAGAATTCCAAACTCCTTAATGCCAAGGACTTTGTTAATATACTTCAATATGTTATTTTATAGGGAATCAATTTCAATTAAAATTCATTCAAATGGTGACTAGAAAAATTCTATAATATTGATCTTAAGAGGGAACCAGCATAGTTAAAATTATTAATCATACTTGAATGTGCCATAAAACACTGGGCTAGTACCTGTGCTTTATGATCATGTCAAATAAAGAGGTTAAAAAAAAACACAACTCTTTCCTTTATGGAAGATGCCAGAGATCCACATCCTGCTCAGTACTGAAAAAGCAGTTCATAACACTACTGACTGACTGTGTAAGTGACTAAATGAAGGTGCTCTGTCATATGAAGCATAAAAGCCATTAAGAGAAACTTTTATTTGAATAGAACCACATTCATTTTTAAAATTACATGACAGAAAGGCTTTTAAAGAATGTGAATGAAGAAAGAGAAGTTTTAAAATAAGACATGTTCGTTTTACACAGCTTAGAAAAGCACCATCATGAAGGCATGAGGAGTGAGTTTTTCTTCCACCTCTTTGAATCTATCCAGTAATTACAAATCTTTATTGCACAGGCCATAAATGCTAGCAACAGGAAGAAAAATGCTTTTGAACTTATTTGGCAGTGCTCACCTTCAGGGATTGAAAACAGCAGAACTTGATTTTATATTTTCAAAAAAGGCTTTAAGTGACTTTTGTGTTTGCTGAAAATGCCAATATGGAGAAACACTTTGCTAACAGAACACATTCAAGCAAGGTGTCAGTAACACCAGTATCATAAAATCAGAAATACAGTGCTTCAAAAGCCCATCTGAGTGAAGAGAGCTTTACCCAGGGGGTCCCAGATGTGATCACAGAGTGAGACCAGGGATCTGGGCTCTGCTTAAGGAGCACCTGACACTTCCAGAGTACTGGGAAGGGGGGTGCTGGTCTGATCCAGGAGGGCATTTCTTATCTTCTTATTTCCCACTCTGCTCATTCAGATTGGCCATCAAGGAGTTAGCTGATGAAGACGGTCAGGTTTTGAACCGGAAGCTCAGCAGTGAAAATTTCTATGCACTTTCAAAGAGTAGAAGAGTATACTTACAGCTCTGATTTCTTCACTTATTTCAGAGAACAACTATCAATCCTACTTTCATTCTACGCCTGACTTCTGGAAAATCTCATTAGAAATGACAAATATGTTACATTGTAAATGGCACCATCTTACAATATGTAGATATGCTATATTTAAATTCTGTGTGAAAAACTGTACCTACTGCTGGAATCCCTTTTACCAGCCTGTTCTTTTCAGCTGGATGAAAACAAGTGATTTCTGCTGGCAGCGATCACAAACAGCTGCTGTTAAATTACAGCCTCTGACTGTTAAAAACTTTCCTGTTTGGTTGAAAGTCTTTCATGAATGGTCACAAACAGCAATATTCTATTTTTTTTTCCTTAAACCTTGAGCAAAATTGTTTCTTCTCTTTCCAGTTTACATATACATATATGAAGTTGTAAGATCTGTTCATTGAATATGTGAGACAGTTTTGGGTATGGATTAGCTTAGACGAGCCAAACTTCCCAGACCTAATTTTCCAGCAGGCTGACTTCTAAGAAATTTTAAAAAGCAGGAATGAAAAAAAAACCACCACCATATTAGTAAAAAAATAAGAAAATCAGAAACTGCAATAATATCCTTGCAATCACACAAAATGGATAATATTGCATTCCCACTAGACTGAGTTGCAATGTTATTTATAGGAACACAAAAAACCCACAAGCAGCTAATAGTATTATACAGCTAAAATCGCAACGCAGAAGTTCGTCAGTACAAATATCACAGCTGCATACATCATGCTTCCGTGTCCATACTCCAAACTAATACACTATGCACATCCAACAGCTCTGTGCTAAGCACATCCAGAGTGCACTGCAGTGTATTGTCCAGTGTATTGGAACTTATTCTGTCAGCTGAATCACTTTGCAATTTGCTATGAATATATATTAGCATCACAGCAACAGCTAAAAGGTAATTATAAGAACTATGCTACTTCAGTGGTCTATCAGGGACCGTCGATTGCACTGCAAAAATATATTCTTCAGGTTAGAAACCAGAAACACGGAATTCAAATAACTGATGGCATAGATGGAACCAGATATTCATGATGCATGTCATTTAAACATCTTATTTGTGCTCAGATATGCTTTCCACAAAGAGTATTCTACTCCAGGTAAAACAGATTAAAACTATAGAGAAATCCTCAGTGCATACTTGTAACCTGGAAAAAATTGATTTTCATAAGTCATAACAGAGCCTACAATCTGAAAAACCTCTCAGAATCAAGCACAGCTTCTGCCTACCGAGTCTACATCCTCTTCAAGTGCTGCATATGTCCTTGACTGGGAGAAAAATACAACAAAGACTGCTCTTTTGTACTCTAATGGATGGCAGCAAAGTCGTTTTATGGTCTTGGAAGAGAAGTGTTAAGCACTTAGCACCAGTGCTAAGATTCCTACAGCAATACAGTAGAGAATGTACAAAGGAAGAAAGTAAGAAGGATAAGGACTTTGGTGAAAAGAAAGCAGTAAGCAGAAGATCAGCGTTTGTTCATATATAATCAGGCAATTTAGCATGTTGAATCCTGGAAAACAGTTTATTCCTGGACTTTGGGACAAATTCTGCCAATATTTCCATACTATTCTTTGTTTTCTACTCATGAGGTCATCAGAGATGTTAGACCATAACAGGACACAAAGCAAAGGAAATCAGCCAGGAATTAAGTAGAGCTTTTCTGAAATACCAAGTATTTTTTTCTGTGCATTGGACAGATGCCACGTATGGAGCATATGCAAGAAACATTTGCACAGTAATTTGTGCTAGAAGAAGAAAGGCTTTTCCTGACTAGCTGGAAGCATTACGGTTAGGGGAACAAAAAAAAAAAGTGAGGTCAAGACAATAAAAAAGAAAAGACATGGCTGCCTGGTAAGAGGACAGTCAACGTTTCAAATGCTTCACGCCCCTGAACACCACCACAGGGACACGAAACCCAAATTCCACAAGCGTTACACGCTTCCTCCCACTGGCTGCCTGAGAAGGCAAACACACTGCCTACCTTGAGCGCTCACATAGACAACATCTGCTGTTTGTTACGCACAAGAAAAGGAGTATTTCTGGAGGAAGGAACTCGTGACTCCTCAGGTGCCAAAACCTTGAGTCCAGAACATACCCAGGAAAGAAAACAGTACATCCTGGAAGTGTAACAGGATCACCCTTTATCATAAACTTCAGTTACTGATTTCTTTATAGGGATAACAAAGGAAAGTCCTGATCCCCAGCAAAGTCTCTTAAAAGACATGAAAGACAGCAGACAACAGTTTAGATACTAGTGTATCCATAAAGTCTACACATCAGTGGGACTGTAAGCTCCAGTATTCTCTTAACTCCAAATGACCTTCCAGTTCCGCACTTCACGAGGTCCTATGTTCTCAAATTTTCTGATTGTTCAAGTTCCTTTTCAAGCAGGTGTGCAATTTCCAGTTATTGGTGCTGTGTCCTGTACCTATTAGAACAGCGAAGGTCTTTGTGAGTGAAAATCCAGAAAATGGGAATTAAGTTTAGTGCTTCAGTGCTTTCATTATGGAAAACAACAAATGTCCTCAGATACAATTATGAAAGCTGGAAAGGCAGCATTCAAATTCGTCCAACCTTCAGTGTTCAAAAGGAAGAAGTAGACAAGGTGAACAGGAATTAGGACTATGTTTCTGACTGCCTGGGGAGGTTCTGTGTTAAACAGCTCACACTTTCTTTGCTTGATCATGCTTGCCTTTACTCTAGTATTAAAAGATTGCTAGTACTACAAAAATCCTTATAACAGCTTTTAGCAGGGTGGAGTTCATAGCTGTGGTTTACTCACCACATTGACCCTTAAGGCAATGTTTCTGCTATGATTTTCCTCCAAAACCCATTGAACAATCCATCACTGCAACACAACTTCATCTATTCTCTGAAGGTATTTTTCACTAGTTCAGCACTGGTGCAGGACAATTATAAAACTTACTGAAAAAATAATGTCAACAGTTATCAACAGCTGTGATGCTTTTCAGGGAAGCACAAAACCTTATTCTAAAGCTTTTTGCTAGCAGGACAATTTTTTATTTTATGATTTTTTTGAAGAAAATAGCACTTCTGTGGCCATATTCAAGTTTTGCCCCATATCAAACTCAGGGAGAAGCTAGGAGGGGCCCAATGTCATCTTAAATTCAGATATCATTTAATCTAAACCCAAAAGCACTTCATATGCTCAGCCCTATTAGCCAATTGCTGCCTGTGCATACTTTGCTGAGAATCCCACATCACATTGTTCTACCATTTTGAGGACAGTCTCTTCTATGCTAGCCAAAACCAGGACTCACATTGAAAAATCTCAAAATAGCCACTTTCTGCAGTTACGTAAGGCTTTTTTTTTTTTTCCTAATGATCTTTCAACTCAGGTTTAGAGTGGAAGTAGTACAATACCAGTGATTCCAGCAGTGTGCCGCTCTCCCCAGAGGACACTGGGAGATGTTTTGTCAAATTAGTTCCTCAACATCACTAAGTCTAGGAAAAAAGCACAGATTGGTAGCTGGGTCTGTGCCCTTCTATCCTAGTGAAGGTTGGAATAGCATTTCTGCTGATAATAGCCTCCATCAAACAGTCCTTACTCCAAAGAAAAGTCTTCCTTAAACTCAAGAGTTGACAATCACATACTGTTCTGGCTTTACTGTCCCCAGAACACAGTGGATGGTGGGTCCTGAATGAAAAAGAATGAAGCAGTTTTAAGCAATTTTCTAAAATAGGAGTGGAAAAGAATGCTGGTTTTCTGTCGAGTGTTTAAAATGAGGTTAACTTTCTCTGCCGACAACAGAACACAAAAACACTTAAAATATCTGATAAGTACTACACAAAGCTTTTTTGAAACTTTCCCTATTCTCTCCATCGTCAAACAGGATATGAACTAAAGTCAGTGGAAGTCATTTTGCTGACATCAATGAGCCCCAGATTAGGACCTTACTGCTTGTAACTCAGCTGGTATGCTAAATGAATTCAGAAAGGATTTTTAATGGCTTCTTTTACCTAGAGATTCCTGAGCTGTGAATTATGAGATACAGGGCTTTTTTTCCCCTTTTATAGGAGGACATTTTGGAGGATAGAAGAGGACAGTGTAGCAATTGCAATTTGCACGCTGAATTTCCAAAAGGCAGAAACTGCTGGCACGCAAATGTGTTATCTCTCAGAAATGTTCTACAAAACAGAAAAGGACTAACAGGAAGCTATTCTGGTAACAACCTGGATTAGGAGTGCATAAACCATGCTAAGTGTGGACACAGTTTGAAGAAAATGGGCAGGAGGACAGAATTAGTTTCAGAGAACAACTGACATGTGGCTTTACAGACTGCACTTAGTTGTGAAAATGTATCTTAATCTTGGTACTTGTAAACAAGCACTTTCAACAGACACACTCCAACGTGGTGTAAATGAGGTGATAAGGAATAGGAATACTGCTGTCATTCCATCACTCATCGCCCCCTGATCTGGAATCATACAATTAGCACAGATCCAGTGCACAGGAGAACATTTGGTAGTCAACAGTACAGTTCTATAGGCTTTATTTAAGATGACTAGAATGTCCAGTGCCACTGCGGGGGAGGACTGCAGGAGATGCAGACCATCAGCTTTTGGTAGGCTTGTGCTGATTTTCATAAATCAGCCCATGGCATGTCTTTATACAATCAGACTACATTACATTGTTCTCTATACACTGCAGAGAGAATACATTAAACACCTACCTGTATATCAACTGCTAAACTTTCCTTCATAGTCCAGCATGTGTTTATTCATGCTCTTGCTAAAATCTAAATTTGTATCCTTAGCTTCATGGACAAGGAATAAATCTCAAAGGATGAATTCCTTGAAATGGCCGTCATCACTGTCTGACTAATTGTGACTCATGGTTGATGTGTCCAGAGAGGAACAAGAAGCCTGGAAATATATAGTCCTCGATGACAAAAACAGGTTGATGGAGAGGACTGTCTATAGTGACCAACGGATCCAAATTTATAGCTTCTGGATCTTCACTGTCCCTCAGGAGTAAAGTCCCAACTTCCATAAACTAGCCTAAACCAGTCATGGCTGGTGACAAAAACTTTGCAGTCTGTAAACTTTCTTAACAATTCATGAAGGGAAAGAGAGAAAACAACCAATATCAGAGAAAAAGATTTAGGAACTGTGGGTGAAAGGGTGAATGGAAGAGGAAAGGTTTTACACAACTGGGGATGGCACTGATACTTTAGCATGAGCATGGTGTTTGACACAAGAAAAGATGGGGTGAAGTCATATTCACAGATCATAGAGATATAAAGGAGCCCTAAAGCTCCTCATCACAACCTACATGACACAAAGCCTGAAGGAATATTCGGCTAAGACATGAGCTTGTTCAGATAAAATGCAGCTTACTCAACTGATCAGAGAGTTTTTCCCCAAACACAGCGAGAAAGGCTTAATCAGGAACATAATGCCATGTGTGAAGGACATTTTGTTAAAAATACACTGCATGTACTGAAGAACTCTATTTTTTTCATACGATGTGACATATAACAGGCACTGAACCAAAAAACCACAGAAGTGTGTGGTTTTTGCTATCTCACTGGACTACCAAGCAATGTTTAACACTGAGAAAGTATTGCAGATATGTATTAGAAGATGTATAAATGTTACTTTACATTGTTATCACAATGACTGCTTCTCTTCTGTGTTACCACAGCTGTTAAAAAGCCTTAATAGAGTGCTAATAACGCAAGTCATTATAAAACATCTTAACCTCATTTGGAAAATATGTACATGCTCCTGCTTCCCTGTCTCCTAACTAAGATCACCATATTGAGCTCAGTTTTGCTTTTTTTAGCAGCTTAAGTTAGGAGCAACTCTATTCAAGTCAATAAAATTTCTCCAACATGAAAGAGGAATCAACCATCTGCAAAAAGCTGAGTATAACAGGTAATTTTCCACTGACAGCTCTTACCATAAAAGAGGTTACGGAGATTACTCTATTATCAGAAGTAAACAATTAATAGAAATTAATTAATTAATAATTAATGAAGAAATAGAAAATGTACAATGTCTATAAAGACAGCACGTTATCTACTTGTACCCTTTACTTGTAAATATTTTCATGTTAGTAAACAGACATTAAGGTAAGGTTACTCTCAAGCTATAGATGGAGCTTGCTCATCATTCAAAACAGGCAGCTAAACAACTCTGTTTATTTATACATTATTTTACCTTTTGTCCCCAACTTTGAAAGTATGTGGAATCTATGAGACATTTCCACGCATCATTTCTTGCAGAAGAATGTCAAGTCACCTTTCATGCCCTCAGGCAAACTTCTACCTGATCTCAATAGCTTCCTGCACCAAAATTATTTTTCATACCTTGTGTGAGCAGTTGGAGGTTTCGGACTTCTTCTCTCACCTTCAGCTGAAGGACTTGCTGCAGAATGTGCTGTCGCAGGCTTTCCTGGGCAATGCCCATTCGTTCAAGCTTTTTGTCAGTAAGTCTCAGCAAAGCGCGGCCTGGATGCAAAAATCAAAAAGAAAAATTACCCAAGGACTTTCACTAATGCAACATTCTCACTCTGACAGGCTAATTTCCTACAGCAAAAATTCTCAGTCTGAAATGATATAGTCTCATCAGTTATATACTGTCTTACTGTCAAGGATCTGTGTTTAACTCTTCCCTTTCTTTTAATTTTATGTATTGTATTGATGCTTTGTGAGCCATTTTAGGCATGTAAAATAGGTAACTGCTACCATTTTAGATGACCAGTTGCTGTAACTGGGTGCCAGCTGGTCCCCCTAAACAACTCTACAATTGGTCCAGGTGTCTAAATATACCCTCACCTATTTTCAAGCATCTAAATTACTGTCAAAAAAAACTCAACTGAAAGAGAATTTGAGCTATTTGATCAATTTAATATATAATGAGGATGAATACTACTGCAATTTAGACATGTTTACAGTTTAATAGCAACACCTCTCAGGATGGCCCTGTACTTAGAGATCCAGTCTTCCAAATCCCTCTGCACAGTAAAAACAATGAGCAAAGAAGGGGGGTGAGAGGAGAAAATCTTACATGTCTCCATGCATATTCAGTTCTATCTAAATGATTCCTGAAAATGATATTTGCCTAACTGTAAGACTGCCTCTTCCGAGGAAAGAAGGCTAATTGTTGTAGGTGACTCCCTTCTGAAGAGAATGGAGGGCCCAGATCCATAGGGAAGTTGGCTGCCTTCCTGCAGCCCGAGTCACTGACATTACAAAAAATCTTCCTGGTCCGGATCGACACTGATTACTACTCCTTACTGATAGTTCAGTGATGAAGGCGCTGAGAGAAGCTTGAGGGCTATCAAAAGGGACTTCAGGGGATTGAGGCAGTCAGTTGATGGAACAGTACTGGTGGTATTTTTTTCTCTCTCTTCCATGGCAGTTAGGGATATTGAGAGGACCAAGCAAACAAATCTGATAAATATGAGGCTAAGAGGGTAGTGCAGTCATAGGAATTTTAGATTGTTCAACCATCGGGTGGTTTACCCACAGCCTGGCCTGGTGGCTGCAGATAGGTCTCTCTGGTCTCAATGGGGGAAATGGATCCTAGCCCACAGCCTGGCAGAGCTTGTTGAGAGGGCTTTAAACAAGGTATAAAAGGGGGCAGAGGATGAAATAAGGCTTGCTTGAGATAAGCCTACAGGAATTATGACGGGGCTGGGGGTGAGGCAAGTAGTTCAGCTGAAGTGCATCTACACCACTGCACACAGCATGGGCAACAAACAGAAGGCACAGGACGCCAGTGTGCGACAGGCAAACTATGACTTAGTTGCCATTACAGAAATATGGTGGGATTGCTCCCATGACTGGAGTGCTGCAGTGGATGGCTATAAGCTCTTCAGAATGGATAGCCAAGGAAGTAGGGGCAGAGGCCTGGCTCTCTGTGACAGTGTTTTGGTGTCACTGAGCTCGAGGATGGCAATAAGGTTGAGTCTTTCTAGGTAAGGATCTGGGGAAAGGCTAACAAGGCTGACATCCTGGTGGGGGTCTGTTATAGACCACCTAAACAGGATGAAGAGATGGACAATGTGTTCTACAAGCAGCTAGCAGATTCCACATGACCACCAACCCTTGTTCTCCTGGGGGACTTCAAATTCTCTGATATATACTGGAAATACAGTATACTGCAGAGGAAGCAGTCCAGGAGGTTTCTAAACCTCCTGACGCAGTTGCTAAGAGAACCTACCGGGGAGGTGCTGTGCTAGACCTGCTGTTCACAAATAGAGAAGGACTGGTGGGAGATATAGAGGCTGGGAGCTGTGTTGGGCACCATGACAGTTCTCGATTCTTGGTAATTGAGGAGGTCAGCAAAATGGCTACCTTGGACTTCTAAAGGGTAGAATGAACCATTCAGGATACTGAATGTTGCTAGGGTATGCAGGGAGAAAAATTAGAATGGCAAAACACAAGCATGAACTCAACTTGGCCACTGCTGTAAAAGTGAGCAAAAACTTCTTCACAAATGTATTAACAATAAGAGCAGGAGTAAAGAGAATCTCCATCCTTTACTGGATGTGGAGGAGAACATGACCACTGAGGATAAGGAAAAGGCTGAGGTTCTCAGTGCCTTCTTTACTCTGTCTTTAATAGTCAGACCAGTTATGCTCGGGATACTCTACCCCCTAACCTGGAAGTCTGGTATGGGGAGAAGAATAAAGCCCACACAATTCAGCTAGAAACATTTAAGAGAGCTTGTATTCCATCTAGACAGTCACACGTCCATGAGGCCAGATGAGATCCAATCAAAGGTGCTGAGGGAGCCAGTGGAGGTGGTTGCAAAGCCACTTCCCATCACCTATCAGTGTTCCTGGTCAACTGGAGAGGTCCCAGAGGACTGGAGGCTTGCCATTGTGACTCCCATCTACAAGAATAAGGAGGACACAGGGAACTACAGGCCTGTCAGCCTGACCTCAGTGCCAGGAAAATTATGGAACAGATTATCTCAAGTGAAGCCACATGGCATTTGTGGGACAACCAAGAGATCAGGCCCAGCCAGCATGGGTTCACAAAGGGCAGGTCCTGCTTGACCAACCTCATCTCCTTCTGTAATCGAGTGACCTGACTGGTGGATAAGGGAAAGGCTGTTGATGTGGTCTACCTAGACTTCAGCAAAGCCTTTGACGCTGTCTGTTACAGTATTCTCCTAGAGAAGCTGGCAGCCCATGGCTTGGACAAGTACACTCTTTGTTGGGTAAAGAAGTGGCTGGAGGACCAGGCCCAGAGTGTGGTGGTGAATGAAGTTATATCCAGTCGGTGAGTGGTCACAATTGGTGTTCCCCAGGGGTCAGTATTGGAGCCTGTCCTGTTCAGTATCTTTATTGATGACCTGACTGAGGGGACTGAGTCCACTCTCAGTACATTTGATGACACCGACTTGGGAGGAGGTGTTGATCTGCCTGAGGGTAGGAAGGCCCTACAGAAGGATCTGGATAGGCTGGATTGCTGGGCTGAGGCCAATGGGATGAAGTTTGATGAGACCAAGTGCTGAGTCCTGCACTTTGGTCACAACAATCCCAGGCAACACTATAAGCTTGGGGCAGAGTGGCTAAAAGACTATGCAGAGGAAAAAGACATGGAGGTGTTGGACAACACTTAGCTGAACATGAGCCACCAGTGCACCCAGGTGGCCAAGAAGGCCAACGACATCCTGGCTTGTATCAGAAGTACTGTTGCCAGTTGGTGTGAGGATCTGATCATCTCTCTACATTCCCTATTCCCCTCTGGTGAGGCCGCATCTTGAGTACCATGTTCAGTCTTGGGCACCTTACTGCAAGAAAGACATTAAGGCCCTGGACTGTTTCCACAGAAGGGTAATAAAGCTGGTGAAGTGACTGGAGCACAAGTCTTATGAGGAGCAGCTGAGGGAACTGGGATTGTTCAGTCTGGAAAAGAAGAGGCTCAGGAGTGACCTTATTGCCCTCTACACCTGCTTGAAAGGAAGTTGTGGCAAGGCGTGGGTCAGCCTCTTTTCCTCATGTGAGTTTTCTCATAACTAGTGATATGAAAAGACAAAGTGGCCTCAAGTTGCGTGAGGGAGTTCAAGTTGGATATTACAAGAATCTTCTTTTCCTAAAGAGTGGTCAGGCATTGGAATGGACTGTCCAGGGAGGTGGTGGAGTCACCATCCCTGGGTGTTCAAGAAATGTACAGGTGTGGTAAAATAAGGAATGTGGTTTAGTGGGTAGATGGATGGAATGTGGTTTGGTGGTAGATGGATGGTTGGACTAGATGATCCTAGAAGTTTTTTCTAACCTTAATGATTCTGTGAACAACTGGTGTTATCCACCTTGACTTGTGCAAAATGTTTGACACTGTCCCACACAACATCCTGGTAATGAAATTGGAGAAAAATGAATACTTGGAGTACTGCATCCAGTTCTGGGGACTCCAACAAGAAGAAAGACATGAAGCTGTTGGAGCAGATCCCGATGAGGGCCACAAAGATGATCACAGGGCTGGAGCACCTCCCTTACAAGGACAGGCGGAGAGAGTTGGGGCTTTTCAGTCTGGAGAAGAGAAGGCTCCAGGGGTACCTTATAGTGGCCTTCCAGTACCTGAAGATGTCCTGCAGGAAACATGGGGAGGAACTTTTCATAAGGGCATGTAGTGACAGGGCAAGGAGAAATAGCTTCAAAGTGGAAGAGGGTACATTTAGACTAGATATTAGGAGGAAATTCTTTACAGTAAGGGCAGTGAGACACTGGAACAGTTTGCCCAGAGAGGTTTCCCCAGAGAGACTAGGGAAAGGAAGTCTTCTTATTGGTTGAGGAGGATCTGGTCAGAGAGTGTCTAGCCAAAATCAATGAACGATCACTGAACCACTGTCAACTTTGAAAGGTCTTGGCAAACAGGTGATGTGCCTGAAGACTGGAAGATAGCCAGCATAACTCCAGTCTTCAGAAAGGGCAAGAGGGAGGATCTGGGAAACAAGACCAGTCAGCCTCTGTCCCTAGAGAAGTGACAGAATTCTGGATATCCTCTCCAATTAATTGGAAGAGAATGTTATCAGGAGTCAACCTGGTTTTACCAAGCAGAAATCATGCTTTATCAGCCTAGTAGCTTTCTATGCTGTCATCACAAGTTGGACAGATGGGAAGAGAGCAGTGGATGTTGTCTACCTTGACCAAGGTGTTTCACATTATCTCCCACAACATCCTTGTTATGAAAATTATGAAACTTGCGGGATAGAGGAATGGATGATGAATTGAATTGACAACTGGCTGATAGGCAGAGCTCAGAAGGTTGTCATCAGCAGCACAGAGTCTGGTTGGAGTCCTGTAACTAGTGGTAGTTCACCAGGGGTCAGGTGAACTACAGGTTGTCCAACATCTTCATCAATGACGTGGATGAAGGGATAGAGTCCATTCTCAGCAAGTTTGCTAATGATACAAACCTGGGAGGAGTGGCTGACACACTGGAAGGCTATACTACCATTCAACAAGACCTAGACAGACTGGAGAATTGGGCAG